CAGACATCCTCTCCTTGGAGAACCAGTGTCTGGCCACTCTTCCTGATGTGAAGACCATGAAGAGGACACATGAGCAGGTGTCTGCTCATTCAGACGTCCTCTCCTTGGAGAATCGGTGCCTGACTATGCTCCCCAATCTAAAGAGCACTGTGTCTGCCAGTCCTTTGCTGCAGCATCTCCAGATACCTCGCCTGGTGCAAACTGACCTGTGCAACCTGAACTCCAATAACAGCCTGTTCTCTGAGTATCCAGCCTGGAAGGCTCAGTGCCTCTCTGAGGAACAAGACCTTCTAACCTCCTCCAGGACCCTCAAATCTACCTCTGCCACGAAAAGAGCTCGGGAAGCAGCTTTGGTAATACAGGCATACCTTGCTTTATTGTACTTCGCTTTATAGCACCTTGCAGATATTGCATTTTTTTTTTTTTTTTTTTACAAATTGAAGGTTTGTGACAACCCTGTGTTGAACAAATCTGTTGGCACTACTTTTCCAATAGCATGTGCTCATTTTGTGTTTCTCTGTCACGTTTTGGTGATTCTCACAATATTTCAGACTTTTTCACACGTTATTGCATACTTAATGAATTACAGTGCATTGTAAACCTAACATTTATATGTACTGGGAAACCAAAAATTTGACTCGCTTTATTGCGATATTTGCTTTGTTGCGGTGGTCTGGAGCTGAACCCGCATTATCTCTGAGGTATGCCTGTAGCTGCAGGCACTTGTGTATTGACTCCAGTCATTTCTGTTGTACACTCTTGTCCCTAGATATCAGTGCCTCCGTTTCCCTCTGTGGTCTCCTCAGAGCTGTTTTGAGGTGCCCCTTACCCCAGGATTGTTTTCATCAATGTCATTGCTCTTATTGCCTGTCTAGTCTGCAGGTTCTGGAGAATACAGCAAAAACAGGCCTTGTCTTCAGAGAGCCTTTGCTGTAGCAAAGTCAGTTACATGCTTTTGAAATCTTAACATCAGGCGTGAGATGTATCTGCGATGCTAGCACCCACTTCCTTGTATGTGCATATGCAAATACATCCACTTGTGTACATCTACATAACCACGTTCAGTAGATAGGTCGGAATTGGAGAAATACACATTCCCTTCTATTTAGACCTGTGGTATGGACTGAAGGAACAGGCTAATCTGAGCTCTATAAATTATAAGCTGTACTATTGGGACAAGACTCTTAACCTTTAATAGCCTTAATTTCCTTAATTTAAAAATGAGGCAGATGAGAACTTACTTCGCAGAGTTCTTGTCAGGATTGCAATGACTGCCATCTTACATTTGTTTAAGGCTTTGCAGAGTCATAGACATGTTATCTTATTTGATCTTTCAGTGACCTCATCAGGTGGGTGGTAGTGAATGAAGAACCTGAGGCTCAGAGAGGTGAAGCAGCCCAAGGTTGCTAAGAGGTTGATATTGGGCATAACTCTTTATCTTCTAACTCCAAGAGTACCTTAATAGCACCATAGGAAGTGTGTGAAGGGCCCTAGGTTCCCAGGCTATGACATCTGTAAGAAGACAGGGGGAAGGTTATGAAGCATCTGGGCAAGGCTCAGAAGGTTGAGTAGGGAGGCAGTGTGTGTGATATTGAGAGAGGACAGATCAATACGAGTGTGAAGGGAGAGGATTTTAGGTGCTAGAAGACAGGTGTGGTCTCTTGTGCCTATCTCCTATTCTGCCTTCAGATCTGTCTGTGTTTGAGGGGCCATAATTGCCAGCTGTGATTAATAACTCCCACTATCCCCAGGGTCGTTGGTTCTCTTCAGAAGAAGAGAAGAAGCCAGAAAAAATAGGAGAAGAGGCCCACATGCCTTTTTATAGTCTAAGCTTGAGAGAGGAGAATGTGGAGGAGCTGGCCCTGGAGCTCACCACTGGTGATGCCAGATCTCATGCTGAGCCCACTGACTTGGCCCTTCAGGAGAAGAAGGTGAAAGATGCAGAGTGGGAAAGAGGTTGTTGGTGGTGGGGAGGGTGGGGAGAGGAGTGGGAAGGGTGGTGTCCGAAAGCTGAACCAGATCCCTTCCCCAGATGGAAAGGGAAGGAAGGGACACAACTCGTATAATAGAAGACAGCTCTTATTCCTCATTTCCTAATCCCCCTTTCTAACCTCTTATTTGGACAGATGTCTTCCTAAACCTGAGATCCATTCACTCTTAAACTTGTTAAGTCGGCCTGCATGGATGTTTAAGTTGGTCCATATTACCTCTTGCTTCCTTTTCTCTCTCTTTGCAATTCCCAGATGGCTCTAATCAGCCTGCTGTGCTCTAGTCTGGCATCGAATGTAATTACAAAAGAAGCAAATAACTTATTCCAGACTTCCCTTCTTGAAATTTGTAGTGAACTTGCCCCCCTGGAACCTGAGTTTATCCTCAAGGTATTGTGGTGTGGAGGAGAGGGTGGGACTGGAAGCTGGGAGGTGGAGCATGTGGTTATGGTGTGTGTAAGGGGGTGATGACCATCCTCATATTGGAAGTAAAAGGAGCTTTGTTTAGGAAGGGGGTGAGATCTCTGGGTGAGTGTGAGTTCCTGGGGTACTGTGGGGAATGGGGAAAGACAAGATTAGGAAAGAGTATGTTAGGGCTTGTTTAGTAAGCACACAGGCTAAGTATACAATGCTAAGCCTTGAGGGATATACCAAGTCATATATGAAACTTGGATCTTTCTCAAGTTGTTTATAGTGTTGTTGGGAAAGTAAAGCACTTTCCCAAATAGTGTATAAATGTCACCAGAGTAGTAGTGAATGTTTCATAAACTGAGAAGAGGGGAAAAATGCTTTCTACGAGGTTGGGAAGATGGCAGATTTATTCACCAATTTGAATACTGATCAAGTTTTTGATCGATGGTGATATGGGAAGTGGTTTCCAAAGAGAGAAAGGGCTTGGTCGACTTGGGAAGCAGGTGGTAAATTCAGGGGATGATGTGCTAGAAAGATAGATAAGGGTGATAAGGGTTGGGTTATAGAGGAGTTAGAGTATCAAACCAAAGATCTTGGGCTTTGTTTCTTATAGATAATATGGAGGACTCAGGAAAGGTTTTATGCAGGTGGTTTAGGTGAGCAAGTGAATTTAGGGGATGAAGCTCTGGGGAGATGTGACTGAGATGTCACTTCTCCCAACCCTGGGCCCTAGGCGTCTTTGTACACCAGGCAACAGCTGAACATCCGGAATGCAGCCAACAGACTTTTGGCCATTGCTGCCTTCTTGCCAGCCTGTCGCCCCCATCTACGACGATATTTTTGTGCCATTGTCCAGCTGCCTTCTGATTGGATCCAGGTGGCTGAGTTCTACCAGGTATGGTCCTCACTTTCTTGACTTTTGGCTTTCGCTTGCTTCCCTCTCCTTTGCTCAGTACATCCCTGAAGAAAATTCTTAGACAGGTAGCCCTCCCTTCAGCTTCCCCAGACAGGATTGCTTCCTCCTGTGCTAAGCTGCATTGCTCAACAGACAGAATATGAGTGAGAAAGGCTGGACTGCAGTTTGAGAAAAATTGATCTTATTCTGAACTTCATGTGTATGGTGAAGAAAATGAGACTCATAGAAGTCACTGACTTGCCCAGCACCACAGCACCATTTTCAAGCTGGCACTAGGAACTAGCTGCCTTTTCTTGTTCACATAACCCCATGAAGCAGTCTTGTTTTGTTTCAGAGGGTTCCTTTGGGTCTCACTGCTCAGAGTCTCTCTGTCTGACAGAGCCTGGCTGAAGAGCAGAAGAGCAAGCTGGTGCCCCTGCCTGCCTGCCTGCGTGCTGCAATGACGGACAAGTTTGCCCAGTTTAATGAGTATCAACTGGCCAAGTACAACCCTCGGAAGCACCGGGCCAAGAGACGGCCTCGCCAGCCCCCGCGTCCTCCTGTCAGTCTCTATCCCAGCTCTAATCACTCACAACCCTGGCCCCTTTTCTGTGGGAAAGGAGGGACCTGGGAACATGCTGACCCTGGGAGTCTCACACTAAGCATCCTTATTCTTTAGAACTGACATCTTCCTTGAGGAACAAAAGCGGTCAGAGAGGAGCTGGGTCAGAGGTCAGGGGGCAGAGAGAGTAGGGCAGGACTCTTTTTTGGTAGAGATGAGCCTTTGGGTCTCTCCTGCAACAACCTCCATTTCTCTCTTTGAACACTGTTTCTCCTGCCTCAACAGAAGTCAGGGCGTCCATTTTCTGAGACACAGACATATTTACCAAAGATCCTTCTGTCTTTTAAAGATGAACAGAAGAAGGTGAGTCCCTTGTTCTGGGGTTGTATATGTGCATGTACAATCTTTTCTGGGCATGTATTTAGAAACTAAATTTCATTTGTGTCAGAAATGCTAGTAGTGAGTGTGGTATACACACACCAACTTCCTGCTTGGGGCCTCTTACCTGTGACGAAGGGGTCAAGTTCTTAAAGCACTGGGAAAGGCTCTTTTTTTTTTTCCCCTTACATTTTTCTCTCCTTGGTATTATATTTTACTGACAGGTGTCATGTCCAGCGTGATAAGTGAGTTAAAAACATTATGAGATAGCTACCTCCCATACCAAACAAACCGAAAAACCAAACCAGTTTCCTTTGAGTCGATTCCAAATCAGAGCAGCCCTATAGGACAGAGTATAACTGCCCCCAAAGGGTTTCCTAGACTGTAATCTTTGTGGAAGCAGACTGCCCCATCTCCTCCCATGGAGTAGCCAGTGGATTCACACTGCCAACTTTTCAGTTAGCACCCAAGTGCTAATCACTGCACTGTCAGGGCTCCTTCTACCTCCTATATCAAACTAAACCAAACTCAGTGCCACGGAGTTGATTCCAGCTCATAGCAACCCCCATTGGGTTTCCAATGCTATTAATTTTTATGGAAGCAGACTGCCTCATCTTGCTTCTGCAGAGCAGCTGGTGGGTTCGAACCTTTGGTCAGCAGCCAAATAGCTTAACCACTACAACACCAGAGCTCCTTCTACCTCCTATAAGTTTTAAAAACAAAAGCATTTTACTTTAATGGCAAACAAGGCACTGCACTTAGTAGTCAAAAGCGTAGAATCTAGATTCAGACCACCTGGATTTTACTCCCATCTCCACTACTTCCTGGCTGTGCAACTTTGGTCATATGACTTAAACTCTCTTGCCTTGGTTTTCTCATCCATAAAATCAGGGTAATAACAGTACCTACTTCATTGGCTTGTTGTGAGGCTTAAGTCAATTGCTTTAATGTGTTCCTAGGAGCTCTGGTAGCAAAGTGCCTAAAGCACTTGACTGCTAACCAGAAGGCTGGCGGTTCAAACCCACCAGCCACTCCTTGGAAGGAAGGTTGGGCAATCTACTTCCATAGTTATACCGCCTTGGAAACCCAAGGAGGGCTCACTATGAGTTGGGGCCATCGACTCAACGGCACATAATAACAACAACAACAATACACTGAGTAAGTGTTAATGATTATCATCTTAATCACTACTGCTGTAGGTGATTAGGGAAAAGATTTTACAAGAAAAAACACATTCTTAGTTGGTCAACTGGTCTTTTCTCTACATCATATGAATATATCCCAAATTTAGCTCTTCTATCTTGGAAGATTCTGAAAGCTAACGTCTTTACGTTTTTTCAGCTCTTCTTCACGTGTGTTATGCTGACATCCCCATTTACTTAAGTCTCAGCGATTTAAGTGAGAGCTGCTTTTCCTTTCCCTCCCTGTAAGGACAAGAATGTTCTCTGTTCATTCTCTCCCCGTGTCACTTTTCACAAACCAATCATCCCATGCCAGCCATCATGTGTGAGTGAAACCCAGTGACCACAAAGAGCGTCTGTTTTATGCTTGTCACAGAAGCTCTTGTTGCTGGAGACTTTTACCCTTGACGTTTGCCAAAATCTATTTTGGGGAAAAATACTACTTCATAGACTGGTTTTACCCTCTGCTTTCTAAAGAAAGTGTTTGTGGGCATGGATGAAATGAGTCCTGTGGGATTTGGGGATGTTTCCACAGTTTGAGGCAGCCTACAATTCAGTGCCAGAGAAAAAGGATCAGCCAAGATTTACCCTGAAGAAGCTGGTACAGCGACTACATATCCAGAAGCCTGCCCAGCATGTCCAAGCTCTGCTGGGCTACAGGTGAAAATTATATCCTGAACATTCACCCCATCTGGGTAACCCCATGACTTTTTCAGCACTCCTGGGCCCAGTCGTTGCAGTCCTCAACCCCAGCAACATTTTTAGCTTGAGCAGATGTGGCCTGGAAACATGACTCACTGCCTTTGCCTAACTCACCTTTTCATTTCTATGTCATTTTCACCTGGCTTTGAAATAATAAGCAATTTTTCCTCTGTCCCAGATACCCCTCCAACATAGAGCAGTTTTCTCAAAGTCGTCTCCCTGGGCCATGGGATCCTAGTAGAGCTGGGAAGCGGATGAAGCTCTCTCAGCCAGAGACTTGGGAGCGAGACTTGAGCTTACGGGGGAACAAAGCTTCTGTCTGGGAGGAGCTCATCGGTAGGATGACCTTGCCCATCACACTTCTTTCCTCACTTCCTCATTCATGTCTCTATAATTCATATAATTCACACCCTGACCAGAAGATTTTCATGGTATAATACAGTTCTTCTCTTACCTGGTAGTTGCAATCCTGAAAATGATTGAATTCAAAGATCTGCCATTGACCACACACCAAAGTGGACAGTGGTGGCTGTTAATGAATAGTGTTGGCATCACGTTGTTGTTACTAGGTGCCGTCAAGTTGATTTTGACTCATAGAGACTCTGTGTGACAGACTAGAACTACCCTATAGGGCTTTCTAGGCTATAATCTTCATGGGAACATATTGGCAGGTCTTTCTCCTGTAGACTCATGGGGTAGGTTTGCACTGCCAACCTTTTCGTTACTAGCCAAAGCTTAACCGTTACTCTGCCAGTAGGTCACTGTTCCATATGTAGTTACATGATGCTTCAGACTTTTTTTTTTTTTTTTTAATTGTGATTTGGGTGAAGATTTACAGAGCAAATTCACTCTCGATACAGCAGTTCACATATACTTTGTCTCATGTCATTGACCACAGTTTACCACAATGCAACAGCTCCCCTCCAACTTCCTCCCCATGCTACCACTTCCCAGTGTCCATCCCTCCATACTCTCCTGCCCCCTGAGCTGTCTCCCTGTGCTTAGATGCTTCAGACTTTTATTAGCATAATAAAAATGGTGCCTTCTCTATGATTTCATTTGTCTCAGTATCTATGCAGCTCATTCCAAACAAGATAGCACTAACACATCATAGTGTATTGGAATTTCCGTGGAAATAGAATTTTAAAAAAAATTCAAATTGGGGAAGAACAAGTTCCTTTTGATCTTCTTTTTGTCCATTTTTGTTTGCTTGTTTTAACAATAGCAGGTGCTTATATTTTCACAAATATATACCTTGTTTCCTTTTCCGTCGACCTTCCGCAGACAATGGGAGACTTCCCTTCATGGCCATGCTGCGGAACCTGTGCAACCTGCTGCGAGTTGGAATCAGTGCCCAACACCATGAGCTCGTTCTCCAGAGACTCCAGCATAAGGTATGTGGGAGGGTCACATGGCCATGAGGCCCTGTGCCTAAGGTGGATGTGGCGGTTCTACTGCTGCCTCAGAGGTCAGACTTTCCCAGGGGTCTGGAGAGAGTCAGGACTGTTGAGCTGTTTTCATGTGGGTTGTAAACAAGTATGGAGATAAAGTAGATTGGGGAAACAGGTATGGGGTTTATTTAACTCTCTGAAAAATTATAGTGTAAGAACTTTCGTTTTTATTTTCCAAGGTCAGAGACTTATACAGGAAGAGGAATTTCTGTGATTTAACTGACTTCCGAGGAATAGAAAAGAGAAAGAAGTGAGGCTATTCTGTCACTTCTTTTTTCTTTATTTCTTACACTCTCAAATGACGACCTTCTGTTTTCTTTCTTCTTCTCCCCCTTTCTCTAGGATACTCTAATACTCATTCTGTCTTTCCTCATATTTCCATGAACATAGCAGAACGGCTACCTCATCTTCCTGGTCCTCTGAGATCCCAGGTGGCCCTCATACTTCTTGTTTTCCACTCACTATCCCTTTGCTTTCCAGGAGTCAGTGATCCACAGTCGGCAGTTTCCATTCAGATTCCTCAATGCCCATGATTCCATCAATAATCTTGAGGCTCAACTCAGAAATGAAGGTATTATCTCCCTTCTTCCAAATCCTGTTTGGCTCTCATGTCTGTGAACAGATGAGACGGCAGTGCTGGCATTATCAGCTTCTTGCCTTCCAGTCTCGGGCATGGGGTTGGCAGAGGTATTGGGACAGGTATTGATGAGAGGGACAAGATGAGGGAATAGAAGCTACCTGACTCAGATTATTACCTGTTGCCACACAGCATTGCCATTTCCTTCCAACACACAACTGTTGAGGCGGATAATGATTAGAAACTCAAGAAATGGCAATAGGTGTGTCATTCAGAAGGAGCTTTGGAACCCAAGTCGTCGGGAACTCCGGACAGCAATGATGATGCCTGTGATATATGAGCGCCTAAAGCGGGAGAAGCTAAAAATACAGAAGGCCAGGTGTGTGCACCATCTGGGAGCCAAGGGTGGGCTACAGGAGGCACCCTGGCAGGGATTGGGAATCATCTGGGAGCCACGAATGCTATTCTGTAAAGACAAGCTTGTCAGTGATCCCAATGGCTCAGACTTGCCTGGTTCCAGTTGTGTCTGGCATAGCAAACTTTTCTTTAACATTGTCCTATGGAGAGGTTATGAAGCAAAATCTATGCTTGCACTCTTGTATCTGTGATTGGTGATTGTGGAGGTCCCTGGGTGACATCAATGTTTTGTGCTAGTCTGTCAACCTAAAGGTTGGCAGTTCGAACCACCCAGAGGCACTGCAGAAGAAAGTCCTGGTGATTTGCTTCACAAAACCCTATGGAGCAGTTCTATTCTGTAACATGTGGGGGTCTCCGTGAGTCAGA